TTTTGTCAAAACAAGTAGAAAATGATCACAGAGAATACAGTGTGTGGAAACACACCATGGAAAGTACATTTATATTTTCCAGAAAGTCCAACTAACAGTTCTTTGAACTGAAAGACACATTAAGAACAATGATAACATACTCTGTATGGACATGGACCTTATCTTATTGTCATGTTTGCAGGGTATAACCCATAATAAGGATCATATATCTTTGCTGAATGAATGAATGATATTTTTCCCCTAAGAAGGGAAAATGACCTATAAATAAAAAGATACTCTATCCCGATTTAGCAATGCTCCAAATTTGGTTCCACAAATTCCTTCCTTCTAAAGTTTTGAGCTCAAGGCATACTTGCATAGGAAATGAGGTGAGGCTGGATAAAAACAGATTCTACTAAGTTCAAGTAATTGCTGCTTGATTTTTAGAAGCTGCCAAAATTTCATGTAAGAAAGGATTAGCTAAACAGATGTTTTTCCTCCCTGTGTTTAGTACAACTTAGAAAATGGATGTTTTACCTTATGAAATCTTCTTCCTCTTCTCTCTTCGGCCTCATCTGTTTCGGTTGAGCCATGTTAACCCAGTTTGGTAGAGATTTCAAGAGTCTGCTGATATCATCATCTTTTGCCCAAGAAGCACTGATGACGAGTTTTTCTTCTGACTGGACAATGCCCCTAAACACAGCCAACAGAAAAGAGACACTTCAGCACGGTGCCTGGTATTCAGTTGGCATTTTCATCTACCTTTGCTGCAGAGAAAAGATATCATACCCATCTCTCTTATGAACATAATCCATTAACTGAGTTGGAGGCAGTGACATCCATTAGTAGGTTGCATTACTAGGAAACAGCATTTCTAGATTTCATTCTTAGTTTCTTAATTGTTGAGTAATTATGAAAGTTGATAATACTGATTAGTTCCTCTTGTCATAGTTAATCCCTTAGGATAAATGAAAGTGTGTGGTAGGTTTGGGGGGGGTCTTTCAAGAAAGGGTTGAATAAATAAAAAGTAGGGTGACCATATAAAAGAATGCTATTAAATGTCAACATAAATGGTACCTAAAAGGTGACAGAAGCGTTACAAAAGGTTGTTTTCTGAGTTCTTGGTTTAAACTTCAATTAGTTCTACCTGAAGGTATTTTGTGAACTATGGACACCCTTCTATTCAACGCCAATCCACCGCCATAAAGAAATCCTCTGCCCTGGATGTCAGGCAGAAAAAGCCTTTGATTGCTGCTATCTCCATGGCTTTGACTAGTGACCTAGAGTTGACAGCCTTCAAATCCTTTAATAGAGCCCATGGATTAGCTATTAACACTGCTCTTACCAAAATGTACCTGTAAATTCATCTTAAATGTCAATTTCAACTTAAAAAGCTTCTCTTTCTGTTCAACATGTGTGTCACCGTAACTAATTTCAGTGATCTAAAAATCCTCATCAGCAATACTAGGTGACAGAAACAACATTTATTTATGAAGGGAGTACTAATTAGCTGGCTACCCCTC